ACATAATAGTTATATAGCTATTGATATGCTTAGTTTGCTTTTAAAACAATCAAATTTGATTCCAATCCAAAAAAAAGTCACAACTACAAAATATGACAAAAAAAAAATTATTGCTTAACATTAACCATGCTTTTAGGAAAAAAATAACTAATTGATTATAATTTCAAAGAGAAATAGTATAACAAATTGTGTACAAATTTTTAACAAAATTTTTAAACCAAGCAAAGAATTATTTTATTTACATACAAAGAAAGTAAGATGTTCTTTATAATACTAGTTACCATCAAAAATAGGTCTAATCAATTAATCAAGAGTTTTCTACCCTTTTATGTCCCGTCAATAACAAAAACACTTCAATAGATACTTGTGGGGACAGTCTTATGCTACTATAAGACTTTGGCATGGTGTACATATATATATATATATATATATATTTCTGCGTGATCTACAGCTCCTTTTAACCATTTGAACAGCAATAGCTACAATTCCTTGGCATTTCATTTGCCTTCACCATGGGACAAATATCATGGAATCTTTGGTGGCATGTTATGGTGTCTGAATTTCATCAAAAGTTGTTACAACATACAAGCTTTTGCACAAAAAGGTATCATTACTTATTTATTTATATTGTATTTTGTTTAATTTATATATATATATATATATATATATATAAACAAAAATATATATATTGTAAAATTGGCTAGAACCAAAACACAAAAGAGAGTCAAAGTTTTAATACAATGATGTATACAAAAAGTTTCAAGTATTATACAATATTGATTAAAAAGTATTATTTGAAAATAACATAATAATAATAATAATAATAATAATAATTGTAATAAAAAATTATATACATACTTATTTTTTCCAATAATTTGATTTTTTAACTTTTTTATTTGTTTGAATATTGAAGAGTCTACTTAAAAGATGGAAATGTTCTCACCAATGTATATTGTTTAAATAGAGTATACATTGTTGTACTTTTATATTGTCTCATCAATATTGTATAATTATAATAATGAAGCAAAATATAATTGAATATCAAATTTATAAAGTATTTAAACATTATTGATAATTTGAACTAATAGATTCAAAGATATTAAACTATCCCTCAAAAAAATGTGGTATGTCAAAAAGTCTAATCTACTGGTTAAATTGAAAGACAATGGATTTTTCAAAGATGACTTATTAAGAATCACAAAATCACACTATGACCATTATTACTGTCCATATGAATTTTAAACAACTTCTATATTAAACTTCATCAACAATTACCAAATTAGATGACAAAATTGAGTTGAAAGAAAAATACTAGGAAGAAACAAAACAAAACAAACAGCAATTTGGAAATCATCACATGCATTGCAGTTTGATACCACACAAAAGAGATACCACTTTCAGAATGAAAAATAAAAATAAAAAACAAATAAGATAAAAAAAAATTAATGGCTATGAAGTCATATAGTCAAACCAGAAGTTCATGCAACACTTTAGAGTGTGGCATTTAATCATCATCCTCCAAACTCAAGACAAACTTTTAAGTAAAACCTACAAATCATGTATCCACACAAACAGACAACAAATAACTGAACCAATATCAATTTTTGTAAACAGAATCTTTCTATTGTTCAAAAATGACACCATTATCTCTTTTGGGTTTTCATATTTCTTTTTGTAATAATAATAATAATAAATTTGCACCCAACAGCATCTTTTCGAACCTTATGGCGCAATGTGGCCTCCTCATCCACTTGGGGTTTGACCCCTCCAGACAACCCAAGGATTTTTGGGCCCTCATCTGCAGTCACATTCTGTTGCTTTGTTTGTTTGTCTTGTTCGTTTCTTTATTTATTTACTATTTTGTTTCATTCTCATTTTTAGTTTGTTTTTTAGGGGGAAGATTCTAGGTTCACAACAGAGGAGAATAGATTTTAAAAAAAAATAAATCAGAGAATGTTGTGAATAAGGTGAGCAGGACGTATACACACAACTAGACAATATCACTTCTTTCTTACTAACAGTACAACTTCTTTCCTACAGAGCTAATTCTCTATAGAATTCAGATTTTATTTTATTTATTTTATTTTTCTCTATGATTTTTTTCCCTTCTAAAAGCCATTAATAGTGAAACCTCTCATTGGTTGCTTTTGGATTTTGAGGTTCTAGGAGAATCTTGGGAGTGAAATGCGAGCGTGAATGAAGGGTCAATATCCAATGTGTAATTCCCAGTAAGTTATTCTCTTATGCATTCCCTTTCCTTTGTCCCCTAGTGTTAGGATCATTTTATAGGGGGAATTTGTTGAGACTATGTACTGGCTACTTACTATAGGATGCAAACTGTTTGATGTAATAGCATCACTAAAGAATGTGAAGTTGGAAGGAATTTGATGGTGTTTAATGTATTGAACATGAACCATACAATCAATCCCCTGATGCTCATTCAACCACTCTCTCTCTCTCTCTCTCTCTACATGTTAACTAATAATACTCAAAACAAATGAACAAAACAGTAGATTTTTTCTAAAAGTTGAAACACAAGTACAAATTCATGTGGCATTTGTACAGATTTTGGTTACATATGTAGACCTTGTAATGCATGCAAGAAAGAAGAAGAAGAAGAAGACAATAAAAATACAAGTCAAAACAAGGCTTGCTTCATATTTAAGGGAAATGGGGTTTTCATATCAAAAACAGGGATTAGAGTACTTATGCATGAAATCAATATCTATACGAAATTGACAAACCAAGAAGTGTTTTGCGTATTGTAGAGAATAAACAAAAATGTTGACTTTCAGTAAAGACAACTCAACACCCCTAAACTCATCATTTTCACCAAATTGGACACCTTTTTTTTTTTTTTTTTTTTTTTTCAAATCCATCATGCTGGAAGATTGGCGAAAATATTTCGTGTGTCAGCAACGCCTCAATGATCAGCATTACCGGCATAATATGTCTCTAAATCTCAAAAGCTAACACAATCTACTCACAAAGGTGGTGGTCGTAAGTTCACAGTGGCGTACAATAATTCTGGGTTGAATTTGTCACTGTAAAGACAGTCGATGTTTCCGAACACCGTGAAAATAACACATGCATATGATACTTATTCTATGTAAAAACGCAATTTCCTACCTTGGATGCTTAACTAGGGTGAACTGGAACATTATTTTTTAAATATTTTTTTAATATATATATATAACATTCATGCGAACGGACACATCGCCGATGGGAGAGTGACGATGGATTCTTGCCTTGTATAGAGTCATTACTGCAGTGTCTGATTGAGTGACATTCCCTACACGTTGCGGTTGGAATGAGTGGGGGACAATAGGCACAACAACTCTATCAAGCAAGCAAGCAAGCAATTCTGCCGCTCTGAGCTGCACATGCAAAGTGCAACTCTGGCAAAAACAAAAACAAATAAAAACAAACAAAAAGTGGCCCACTCCCTTCCTCCCTCCTGCTTCCCAAACCTCCGCGTCGACTCTGCGTCGATCGCACTCTGATCTCATCGCTCACATGGAGATGGATGGATAGACAAAACGCCAACGAGTTCCGAAACATCGCAGATCTCCCACTTCAACTCAGTGTCCTGATTGGTTCCGCATGGGTCCCGTACACTTGCGTTGCGGCATCCGTTCCATATCGTCCCTCGATCCTCTCCTTTCAGAACTGCCGTAATTGTCTTCATGGAAGCTTCACCCCTCGGCGTTGACTTCCGCACTACCCAATGAATTCTACCGATAGCGTCGGAAACATGTTCACGAATATTTGAACGATGTCACGACTGTTGGTCCGCTCCTCTAGTTTTCACAACAACTAGCGCAACGCTTATCCCCCTCTCATCCTATTCTACTAGACCAGGTTTATTCGTCCACTACCCATCAAACTTAGTCAAATAAATAATCCATGAGGTTCGGAACGCAACCAGCCCGGTTGAAACACCGAATGAGGAATTAGTTGTTAAGTAAGAGAAACGGCACTTTAGCAGTCGGGTACCATCTAATTCCCCGGGGTATGGCTGCTAATCTCGGACAGTGGTACAGTATATCTAATTTAACGTGGGTACCAATGATAAAATAATTGTGAACTCCCTTTTAAAAGCACATCTAAACGATAATGATTAATGCACAGGAACAGTCGATCATGCACGCTGAGCATCCAAGCCAGTTGGAAAGCCTCGCCGAGGAATGCCTCGATTTAGCCGACACTCCTGCAGGATGCCAGACCGACTTCCAGTTAGAACCAGCAGCAACCAACCCCACAATTTGGACAAGCTGTAAACCCCTTGAAATAAACTGCGAACACGGACGCACAGAAAACTACATATGACACACTAACATGACAGTGCCGCTGATGCCACCGTCGGACCCGCTGGAAGTTGAGCGGCAGGTTGTCCATGTCCTGTAGCACAGACTGTTGATGAAGGATTAGCCACTGCTTCGTTTCATCATGCTCTTGTTGCTCCTGAAAATCGCAAGCCCCTGGTTCCACACTAATAATCACGCACTTTTCTTAACTATTAATTTTCAACAGGGGTTTCCGGGGTTTCCGCAGCAGGGGGCTCCGGGATGGAATTCACCTGATATAGAAAACGGAAGTACCGTGAAAGAGGAATCTCCTGCGGTGCCATGTGAGTGAGCTTGCAGACTCTCTGACACGGGCATGCAAACACGATTGTTGTCAACTTAGCTTGTGGTAAAAGCTCGGTGATGGCATTGGAAGGAAGCTAGCACGACACATCCTTTCTGCACAGTACATACATCTTTTGATCTGGAGAGGAATGTCAAGGTCCACTCCCAGCTCAACGCAGCTGCTTACCTACTTGTGCAACCCGCGAATGTCTGGATTAGATTCCGAAATTGGCTGACTCTTTCTAAATTTGATTTAAATTGTTACTGAACAGTCCTGGATTAGCCGAAAGTCAACGAGTTTTGACAACGGGGTTGGGATCGGCGTACTGGCAGGGGACTAGTCTCGGTCACTTGTATAAGGCCTTGTGGGAGTCAATGCAATTTTCATCTTTCCTCAGGGTCAGTTCCCCGTTGCTCTTATGAATTGCATATTCTCATTTCGAACTGTGCCTCCCTGCGCAGTCCAGAAGCTCCCTGTGATTTCAAATTCGAAAGGTTGGGGGGTTTTAAAGGCGAAGTTGACATTTAGCTGAACCTTGAAGTCTCGGACTTTGAGATCGGAGCTAGCACAACTTTTCGCAGTAAGTTTTTGAAGGTTTTCGCAGAAATGAATATCATGGCGAAGGTGGTGACTGTGCTGGTGTTTCTGCAAGCCATGGTTAGCCAACTGAGGGCTGTCGATGCGCAAGGAAGTTGGCAAATAATTCAACCCAATGCAGGGATATCGTGTATGCACGCTGCCGTGACGCACTTTGATACAATCATCATGCTCGACCGGACCAACACGGGGCCGACTCAGATTAAGCTGCCAGGGGGGCAGTGCCGCAAACAGCGGCTGGAGCGCGTTCTGAAGAGGGACTGCTGGGCGCATTCCGTAATGATGGACCCAGTCAACGGGGCGGTGCGACCTCTGTTTGTGTTCACGGATACTTGGTGCTCATCGGGGCAGTTCTTCGACAATGGAGTGATGGTGCAGACGGGAGGAGATTTTGAGGGCTTCAGAAAAATCAGAACCCTGGCGCCCTGTGCAGCAGACGGGAACTGTGACTGGGTGGAGCTCGAGGAGCTGCTCGCGAAAGGCCGTTGGTACTCCTCCAACCAGCTTCTGCAATCTGGAATCCGCCAAATCATCGTTGGAGGAAGGAACGAGCCGACGTATGAGTTCTACCCGAAGAGGTTCGCTGGCGAGGGTGCATTTCCTCTGGCAGTGCTGAACGGGTGCTGCGACAATTTGTATCCTTTCGTGTATCTGCTACCCAACGGAGACCTCTGGATTTTCGCTAACCAGGACTCGGTTACTCTCAACTGGAACACGGGGAAGGTGATCCGGACCTACCCCAAGATTCCCGGAAATCCTCGTAACTACCCCTCTGCTGGATCCGCTGCCATGCTCCCCTTGTCATACACAACCGGATTCGGCACCGCCGAAATTTTAGTCTGCGGAGGAGCTGCAACTGGGGCCTCCCAATCTAGCGACGTCAGTGCTCCTGCATCCAAGAACTGTGGGAGGATCGTTGCCACCGATGGTAATGCTTTCTGGGCCATGGAGGACATGCCCTTCCAGAGAATCATGGGTGACATGCTGAACATGCCTAACGGAGAGGTGATCATTATTAACGGTGCTGCCAACGGATTCCAAGGGTGGGGTATGGCCGGAAACCCTGTGTTGAACCCTGTGATGTACAACCCCGGTGCAGGAGATGGAAACCGATTCACAGTGTTGGCCGAGACTGTCATTCCCAGGATGTACCACTCCACTGCGAGCTTGCTCTCCGATGGAAGAGTCGTGGTTGCTGGAAGCAACACCCACCAATTTTACACCCTCACTGGAGATTTCCCCACCGAATTCCGCGTTGAAGCTTACTCCCCACCCTACTTGGGCGCCAAGAAAGTTTTCTAACTTTTTTTTTTTTTTTTCTATCCGTTTGATGTATGTGCATTGATCTTGAAGTCTTACAAACAACCTCTTGTGACTGTGAACATGCGACTGATATTTTTTGTGGTTGTATGAATTTTTCAGCTTTAATGCGGTTAGACCTGCGATCACTGGAGCCCCTGCCGATCTGAAATACAACCAAGTCTTCACTGTGACATTCAACGTGGCCACCCGCGTCGGCGGTGTGACATTTTATCAGAACAGCGCGCCCTTCTCGACGCACTCGTTCTCTCAAGGCCAGAGGTCACTGAATCTGGAAACGACCGAGCCTGTGCAGGTCGGAGCAGACTGGAGCATGGAAGTCACCGCAGTTCCCAACAATAACATCGCTCCACCTGCGTACTACATGATCTTTGTAGTCCAGAACGGCATTCCTTCCAGGGGTAAATGGATCAAGCAGAACAACTAGAAGAATACTCCTCTTCTCTCTCTTGTGAATCCGCAGCAGTTGAATCTTGTGGACTTTTCGTCATTTTCGTCCTACCCCAGCACTTGACTTTGTTCTGTCGATCGACCGTGAACAACAGCCGCACATATTAAGTTCAAGCAAGCATTAGATCATCGGGTACACGTTGCATGTGACTGGAAGCTCTTGGTTGGTCAGGCTTCCACGTTCACGAATTGTAAGTTAGTCTGTGCAACCGTTCATGGGTATTATTATCCTGAAATAATCAGCAGTGGACATGTTGAATCATTTGAAGCTTTCGGCGACAAAATTCATTTAGTTGGGTCCGCAATGACCATAAATTAGCAGAGGATGGCAAGTAGCACAGAAAAGGTTTGAATCCCAGCTTTGAAACCCCTCATGATGGAAATTAGCAGAAGTAAAACCTCCTGCTATTTTATTATAAAAACAAAAAAACTCATTGCGTTTTATTTGTTTAAAAGTCTCTCAATTACATGGTATGTTTATCTGCTTGAGCGAGTCTCTTCCAGTTTAATCTAAACTCTCGGAATTGTCTTCGGGCATTAGCGAAACCGAAGTTCATCATCAAAAAGTCTCGTCACTTTGTATTGCATAGCCAGTGATTCTCAACTTCATCCATGGTGCACTTCGCATATATCCTTCTGTTTCTTTTAGTCGCTGAATTCTGTGTCAACAGCAGGATTCTTTACAACATCCTAGATTTCTTTTATGCCTTCAGTATTAACATTTGGATTCATTTTCCTCTGTGGTGTCATGTAGCAATATTCTCAAGGTACCTAGTATTTGTAACTTCTGAAAGACAGAGGCTACGTTGTTGAAGAGCTGCACTCCACCTCGTCCAGTTCACAGTCTTCTCTCTCAATTGCTGGAACTACTTGTGAAGAACCTGCGTGTCTTATTATCCCCAGGGAGCGGAAGACCATCGTTTTCTAAAGATTAAGTAGATTGAAGTCTTCTTCGACTCGCCAGGTTTTGAGTGCTTGAGGCGGTCATGTTGACACTATTTGATCACAAGTAGTTTTTCAGATTTGCAGATCTGGCACCCTGGGAGCTCCTGACGAAATTGAGGACATCAGGGGAGACAAGTTGCGTCGGATGACGTGGAGGGAAGATAATTCCTTGTCGACGTTGATCACAAGTTGCCGCACACCATAGCAAGTGCCACAAGCAACAAGTTGGGTTTGTGCTTGGCCTACTCAATAAGGCTTTTATCAGCTCAACCAATCTTGAAAATTTGATTGGGGTTTTAGAAAACTTCCTCCTGCGATTTTCGAAGCTTGATTCAGTACGTGGGCCGTTTGAAAACCATCAAAACCATGAAATATCACACCCACGAGACCTTGAATCGTAAGCAGATCTGTCCTAGAAGATCCCCTGTAGAACTTAGATCCTGCACAGATCCCATTTCAATTAACAGTTGATACATTCCAACATGTATGCGATGCAGGTGCTTCATATGAAATCCCTTGAAAACTGTAATAAGAACACAATGACAATCTTACTCCGCTCTCATTGAAACAAAATATCACCATTCTCCTGATGACGACACAAAGAAATTTTATATCAGGGAGAGCAATTGGATATGTTTGACAAATTGATATTAAGTGCCGAAATTATGAAACCATGCAGCATGAGAAACCTCATGTGTTTCAGCTGAGGTTTTGATAACATGAAGTTTTAGTGTTAAGACAAGCGGGTGTCAAAAAAACAGAAGAATGAGCTTCGCGCTTTAATATGCTGGTGCGCATTGTCTAGGTTCCTCACCAGATGGATTAGCACTTCAGTTTTTCGTGTCCATTTCCACAATATTGGGGATCAGGAAGAAGTCTTTGGTGAATTAGCGCAAAACATTCACATCAAACTTCATGTTACCAAAACCACAGCTGAAACACATGGAATTCATATACTTCATCCTAATGGACTACTGTGCAAGTCTCTTATTCGTTTCTGGTTAGTGTGCAGATTTGAGGTTGTGATCCATAGAAGTAGCTCCTCTGTTGAGAGGCTTTCCGAACCAGATGGTTTGGAAGCTCGAGCTTCATTGCTCCTGGGAACTGTCAGGCTTGAGGTAGACACGGTAATATGGGGCAAGAATGTTAAGCCTAGCCACGTCAACACTTGCAAATGCCTCTTAATGATATTAAAAGGACATGATGTATCAGCACAAACCTCAAGGCTATCGTCATTTTCCGAATTGGTCAGCCTCACTATGAATGAGAAGCATCAAAAGAGTACATGCTTCATCCAACACTAGATACGAGCGGTTGCACCGCAAACCAAAACCGCTTTAATCAGTTTCCATTGACAATGGAGAATTCTCTTTTCATGAGAAATTGCCACATGAAAAGCGCAAGTAGCATGCAGATCGTACAACTTCGGGATTCTCATGCTGTCGGTCTTCGCTGTTTAAGTCCTTCCCTCATGAATTAATATCCCGACATTTACTCATATCACAAATACCAAGGCTTTCCCATGAGGATAAATTCAAGGTCATGCAAATTATTTCACCTGCACTATTTCAAAATTTGGAGTCTGACCAGCAACAACTTAAGGATTCGCACAATGACTTCAGAAAAACCAGTATCTCGACGAAATAGCAGATTTGGGTTTGGCATATCCATGTCTTTTGGACATGTCTCTGATGAAAATCTGCTTTAAGTCAAGTTCCTACCAGAGGTACTATTACAAAATCCACTGTGGAATGCTCCATGATCATAGGAGAGAATTTTAAGCGCCAAACTGGACAGATACCAACAGGAAAAAAGAAAAAAAATACAAAGTACAAAATACAAATATAATCGAAAGGATAGACTTCACCCAAACGATTGTGTGCTTGACATGGTGCCACTCCAACCTTTCGTCTGGGCTTCTTCACAATGATTTTCTACCCTTGATAAATGGTTTCTGCAGAGAGCATCCTCCACCTAATCCCAACCTTCTTCAAAATGATTTTCATATTCCTCGCATTTGCAACTTCGTCCTTCTCAACACGGTGAGAATAAATCTAGCCGATCTATAAGGAGAAAAATCAGTTTTCAAACGAGAACCGGTCACTTAGTAATCAAGGTATCCTCCCACTTCCAGACGACTCTACTCATTAAAACTCCATGCTTTGCAAGTGCAAATCTTGCCAACAGAATGCTAGGGTAGAATGGGAAGGAACAATGGCATATAATCTATGAAAGCATACGAAAACATTCGCTTCATTAATAAAGATTGGGTCGTACAACTTCAATGTCTTCTGAGATTTTTACCAGAAGATGCTCTTACCACATAATTACAGAAAAAGCAACATGAAGCTGGTCCAACTGTTTCTATCCCCTCTCGGCTCGGCAATGTCTAAAGCATAAAATGGGCTTTTGATTACATGGACCATAATTAGAGGTATGGATTCCTCCAGATTGAGCCCCCAAGAAATGTGCACAAAATCTAAGCCAAACTTCACAGGCAGCACCACTGCCCAGCTCATCATCAAGACACTCCGTCCTCCTAAAGACGCTTCTGCATTGTACACACGATCCACCCCGAGAAGCGTTGGATCAGCTTCATCTTCCCATTTCCGTAGCACTCTTTTCCTGCACCTTTTCCATTCTCAGAATCCGCCAACACTCCTACTCCTCGTGCTCCGCTTTCACATTGGCGGAAGCACCCTCCTCAACCGCTCGGTCATCCCTTTCATTCTTCCCTCTCTCCTTCCGGTAAACCAACCATTGCCGCATCCCACCGCTCTCCGCTACCTTGTCAGCTTCTTCCTTCCAAACATCTTCACCATTCAGTCACAACTCCCCCCTCCCCCCTCATCAGCCTTCTGACTACAACCACAGCTTAAAACCCACCTGCAGAAACCCAGAAACAAAGGCAAAATCTCGGACACAACTGACAGCTCATCTGACACACGAGAAGCAATCACAGACAGATATTCCAAAGTCCATTTTCCATACGCGCACCTGAAGCCCTGATCAGACACCTCAGACACTAGCATCAGGACCACAGATGCACAGAAAACCATGGAATCGATCCATAAAGTGGACGCTAGTGACTTACTACTCCCTCGCAGGCCTCTACGACATGGGCACTAACAGCAGTAGCTACACAAAGTACCTACTCCCACGCCACAAATTTACTGTGACGAGCCGACACACCAAGCTTCGGACGTAGCGGCTCCACAACAGGACAAGCAGGGGCCCAAGGGCTGGAAACATATGCAACATTCCATCTCACCTGCCAGTTTGGAAAAACCGAGATGGAGGGCGAGACTGAAGACAATACTACTACTACGGCTTTCTGAGCTTGAGCCTGCGTGGAACGCCCGTCACGTTTCACACAAGCGAAGGAAGGCAAAGCGAAGGCGAAGGCAAAGGCGGTCAAGCTTGCAAGGGGAGGGAGGGAGGGATGTGTGTGTGAGCAGGGCAGGTGAGGTGGGGGCAGTCCAATGGTTGGAGCTGCTGGCAGGGACGGGAGAAGTACAGGTTACGTGAGTAACGGAATTCTCCGTTGCAGCCTCAAGTCCTGCTCGGCTCATCATCACCATCCTTTGCGCTTCCCTTGCCCTGCGCTTGTGTGTCTTCTTGGAACACACGGATGTGTACTGCCGCCGCACTCATGGCTCGCATGCTTACGTAACAATATCATCGACAGCCCCCGCCTCCATTCTTCCCGCCTTGTGATGATGGAGTTGCTGTTGTTACTCACACACCCCCGCCCCCTCTTCCTTGCTCACTGTGCGCTTAGAGGAATGTAATACGTTACACCAGCGAGAGAGAGAGAGAGAGAGAGAGAGAGAGAGCATTGATTTCATGCTGTGTTTCATTGCTACGCAACATTCGGGAATGGAAGGAAGGCAGCGGATTTTGTCGAGTGTTTTTGTGCAACTCGCCACTCGGTATGTGTGCCGGTTACGGTTCTTCCTGGATTGATGCATGATCATTTGTCATGGCCATAGCCTGAAGAGTTTTTTTTTGTTTTCTTTTTCTTTATCTCTTAGGGGTCGGTGTCCGGTGCGATGACGGGCTCGAGGAGGTGGAAGAATTGGGATGACTGCGAAGGTCTCACTTCGCAGACTTGGGTTGGTGTAAGAGTTTCGTGGAGCAGTTTTGCGGGTTCCTCGCTGAGAGTTCGTGGGTTGCGCAAGAGTTCGTACTTCGTTGTGTTGTTTCCAATCTTTTTGGTCTCTTTGAAGACTCGCAGAGACTGCCTTGTTTAGCATGTGGATTATGGGGTCTGTGGTGGTTGGATACCACTGCAATTGTGGCTGTTGACCTCCGGTGCTTTTGAAAATAACGCACTCGGATCAGACCATCGTGAGTTACATTTGACCTCACTCGTTCAATGTGCTTCGATAGTACATGTCCTTCTACGCCTTCAATTTTTCGTTTTTCCTTTTTTTATGTCAAGAAATATTTTCAATGCTTGTGACCACTGCCGAAGTCGACCTTCTAGATTTATCTGAAGCTCACTTTTTCAGGAGGAACAACTGTATATTTACGCCAAGAAGTGTGCAACGGACACTAGGTTGTCGTTGTCTTCAAGAATCAGATGATCAGCAAGCATTATGCGTCTAATTTAGTCCCTTGTGCCTTTCCACCTTTGCACCTGATAATGCGGTGTTAGCAACCTCGCAATGTACCATCCATAGCCACTGGGCTTTGGAGAGTATCTTCTGGAGCTATCAAGGAACTCGCCTCTCTTCAGGATCACCACGCATTACAGAAACCACGATGAGCTGGATAAAAAAAGACATACCCTTTTTCGTATCTTTCAGCATTGATCTGCATTTGTGCGGTTAATGTATTTGAGGCTCGTTGGCATTCTTGATTCCTCTCCGCTTGATTAGTACCGGTAGTTTCATATGGTCAATATGCCCGGATAGCCACTTGTGCAGTTGCACATGTGTCATATGCAACAAATGAAGATCAAAACTCACTTGAGTTATGACTGCTTCGCGTGTAGGTCAAATGCCATCATCTATGGGATTCTCAATAAACCGCCATGACCTAGGCGATAACTCTTCAAGGAGGGTTGCCCTCTTGTTTACACCTATCACCTAAAAAGTACTCTTTGAATGTTCAGTTGTACCATCCGCTAATTGGAGTGTCCAAGTTGTAAATTTTCATGATTCTGTGTCTAGGCTCTTCTATGATCCTTCGGTAGTTGTAGACGTAGGCTTTTCATTTTGATGGCGGAGTTGTGTATCTGGAGTTGGTTAGAGTTCAGTTGAGCGTGATTGAACTATCAACCGAGGCCTTAATTTGCCAGGCTTCCCAGGCAGTATGCTGAAAAGTCCTCAAACTCTCATTAGCATAGTGCCCATTAATGCCTCTCATGAGAACTGAGCTTTTTTCCTGGTTATTTTGCATGTATCAGCATCTCTAGGAGCATATAAAATCTTAGAATTGCCTTCTGGTAAGATGGTAACCCTTGGAAAGTCGAATATCGAGTGGAATTTAGTTCATTTTAGTGCATTGATGAAGGCAATATCATACATGTCCAGCCTCATCTTGTCTTTGCTTTAGAGCTAGAATGTCATGTGACGAATCGGTGGGTACAATTTGAAACCTTGATCGTATTACTTGTCGGTGTTTTGCAGGAAGAACTCACGGAATCTCGCGGAGGCATTGCCATCTGACAGAGCCTCTTGTAATTTGCTCTACTCAGCCTGTGTTTCGTCAGATGGTCGTTGACGGTTTAGTTCCCTCGGAACAAAGTCAAATTGTCCACTTTTTCAATTTGTACATGTAGTGTCTAGGATAGTGAGCAACTTTAAAACGATCCCACATACAGTTAACTGTTTATGCGGCCTCTTCAGCTGCATGTGGAGTGTGTTGTTCGTTTAAAGTAGTTAGAGAAAGGGGTCGTTTGAAATTTGATACTCTCCTTGGGAGGATCACTATCTTTTGCCAATTATTTCATGTTGCTAACACATCGCTGTAGGGATATGTCGTCGACAGAGATACGAGAGAACGTTAGATACACTTCTGATTGCATAATGAAACCAATTACAAGTAGAAAGGAACCAAGTAAGCATTTCTGTGGGATAAGAGTAACAGCATCTCTCAGCTATCTCACCTAAAAATTCAAGGGAATTTCAGAGATGAGCGAGGATAACTCCGCTACACTGAGGAAGCTACAAGTTGTGTGATAGAAGCTTCAGCAAAGAATCAGAATTGAGAGCCAATGCTTGGCGGTGATTTCCCCACTTTGAGCCAATCTCAAGTCAGGCATGCGCAGTTTTCGAATCACATCGGAAGCACTTGCGGGGAGGAGTCCATGGAAAGGAGAGGAACTTTCCATTCATTTTTCGGAAAGTCAACTCCCACCCAAGAAGGCACCACAAAGAAAAGCTCCAGCGCTTTAGCATCAACATTGTCCACCTGCCAGATTCCAGGTATTGTGACGCGCAACTTGATTTGTATTCCCTGCAGTTAGCAAGGTACAGTTTCAGTATCCCACGTTTGCCAAACCCTCTGTAAATGTGGGATTTTATTTTGCAGTTCTAGGCCATCATGTATGCGACTTTAACTCAGTCTCAAAATCACCAGGTGGGACAAGCATATTAGTAGGATGCGTTTTGGGGAAGGCTATTGTCAAACCCAAACAGCAAATTCGAGGATCTGTCAAGCGCAATCCTGGCGAGGATAGGAAGGAGCTCTTGGCTACATCACCCCTTAATAATGGACCGACTTTGAGTGAGCAATCTTACGCTAACATTGTCGTTACTGTGACTGGAAACTTTTTCCCTCACAGAAATGACTGAATCTCCTGCATTATGCTTAGCAACTTCATTAATGTTCACTCCAGTTGGTCAGTTACTTGATGCTTATGTTCACCAATTTAGAGTCAAATCTGTTTGTGCTATGTCCACTGCTTGTATTACATTTCTGACGAAACGAAATTTTACCAGATGGTAAGGGAAGGACTGGCATCTTGACGTTTCCTCGATCAATTTCAGTAAACGGCCCCCGCATCGGCAACCTGAACTCGCCTCCCCCTTCACAGAAATTGTATCCTCTTACATCCTTGTTAAAGCGTAATTATCCATGAGGTTGTCGTTCAAAATATATTGCAGTAAATGCGAGCTACCGCAGGTGATCATGCAAAGTTCGAATGTTCCTCGAAGCCCTGGATGGACTAGACTTCTTGCTTCTATGGCCAGTTTCCCTTAACAGGTTTTTCAGCTTAGGGACAACCATGACCTTCCTATTTGATAAGGTGGCCAGCGTCACCGATTGCCGAAGCACTGGGCATTTTGTCCTTCCAAAGAGGAAAGTGGAGGTGGGTGCCTATGATCCCTATTAATTTGGTACCTGCGGATGCTTCAAGGTTCAATTTATTTCGCGCTTGGACATGATATATTACACTTGATGCATCTATAACTAAAACTACGGAGTGTTCAAATAGGAACACTTTCCGCCAATCAACAAGCCGGGAGGAATTTGGATGACACTTGTGGATGCCACGGGAAAGGAATGGTCCTTCGAGTTCTGCTTCTGGCATAGTAAGGAGAGTCGAATTTACTACTTCAAGAAATTTTATCCATATGTCCAATCAACAGACCTACGTGGTGGTGATACAGGTGTAATATTTTCTCGTTCACTACAACAGTACACTACATGTCTTTAACTTGTTTAAACCCAGGTCCTTAGAATAGCTGCGTAATCGCAAGAATTCATTTCCATATTCACGAGCCCATGGTAAAATTTTAGGAGGCATCGTTTCAAATGTGGGTTGTCTTACAAGATGCAGTTCTGGACAAGAAACTGGCAGTCTAATAGCACTTCAAACTGGTAGCCGCTCAATTGTGTCTTGATATTTTGTGTGCATTTCAATGCTGATGTCGCCGAATTGGTGTTTCCTTTTGAGCTATTGACTAAGAGCCTTTCGATTGACGCTAACCTGCATGTGCTTCTTATTGAATTAGTTTTCTTCAGCAGATTGGAGCCTCAAGGAACATTGTTTATTGGCTATCGCAAGCAGAAACCTCCACCGCCGAAGGTTTGTCATATGCTCTCCCGATGGATTACTTTACGTGGATCTTAGTTGCAGCAGCAGTTGTTCAGTAAGACTGCCTGACCGAATCGCTTTCTTTTTCAGCAAATGAAAGCGTTGAATTGTGGTGCTTCAAAGGACCAGTTTAAAGAAAGGGAACATTCAAATGGAGGACTTACGTATCTTGCAAATGACTGGAGCCCATCTCTTGAGGAAGTCGCAACTCGACAAAAAAAACCTACAAAATTATCGGCTGATGATGCAAATGTTGATTACGCCCTAGACAGAGGTATAATCCAGCGTAAGAAGAAGAGAAAGAAGGAGTTTCCCCCACTCTCGCTTGCCCAACGGACTAAGGTCATAGATCACTTGGCAGTAGGTGAAGCTCTGATAGACAAGAAATCAACCAGCGGACGGTCTAGTACTCCAGATACCTTCCAGCATGATGACAGGATAGCAGGGGTGCTTGGCTCAAAGGGTAAAAGGCTGCGAGTAAATGCGGATGAGTACGCTGAATGGAAAGAAATGCAGGATCTGCTTCGACCAGCACCTGGTGCTCTCCCTACAGTTCTCACTATTGAAGGTCACGATTTTGAAGAATACGAGGTGCTTGCTCGAGAATCCAATTGAAATCAAATAATTGTTTCTTGTATATTTTGTAACTGTTATCGTTTTTCAACCCTTGCAGCAAAATGTTGTTTTGAGGCAAAATGATTTCGTGAATACTTGTCCCAGCACAATTTTAACACACGGTTGGCTTCCAGGCGCCTCCTGTTCTTATCACGAGAACTTACCACAGCCCTGAAGCACATGGGTGAGATTTATATATAATTGATTGAATTGAGTCGATTTTTTGGGGTGTAAAATACAAACCTGTTATCCTGGAGGTTTTCAATTCATAGCTAACGTGAAACTGTTAGAGTGTAGGGAAAATCAATGGGTGAAGTGCAACGACTGTGGGAGCTGGAGAAGGCTGTCCGCTGATGCTTTTGTTCCTGCAGGATGGATTTGTTCTGACAGCGATCTAGATCAAGGAAGGTTGCTTCTCGCTCTGCTTTCCCTTCTCCACTGTTATTTCGCCATGTTTGGAATACGGTGTTGCTTTCGCTCGTATGTACCTAGTCAGAAATTCAATTCGCATCTGACAATTCATACTCTTTGAGTAAAATTTTGCGTTAATGATTTGAAATGGTTACTTATTTGGTTCTTTTACGGGCTCGGACAGGGCATATTGCAACGCACCACAAGAACTTAGTGACCACGAAATTCATCAACTCCTAGGATTGGGCTTAGACGCAGGCAAGTACCAATGTCATTTAAATTGTGTAGTATTCCATATAAGCTCAAAACAACCTGACTTTTTGGTGATAGTGTACAATGAACAAGGTTAGGGAGTCAATTTTTGTATATACGGCGGTGGAGTACTATGGATCGTACCCAACAATCTCTATGCTGTGAAATGGGCAGAGGGCCGGACAGAGACCCAAGAGGACCTGAATGAAGATGGAGATTGGACAACCCCTGAGCATCTTTATTCAGCCCAAGCAGACGTATGCGCTTATAAACAGCCGACGCTATGGAGCGCAGCGATGGCTTTGGTTGACGGGTCTTTGCATAGGGGTACTGAATCATACTCGGAGCTCAAGAGCTGCGAATCCGACACCTCAGTTCCAGAATTCACAGACCATGGTCCAGGTATGGCCTTGCAGTCACCCCGGTTGAAACAATTTTGCGACCTTATAGAAGACTCATCTTCAAGGAGGTCAACTTTTCTAGAAACTAGAGGTAGGAAAGTTTATGAGAATCCAACAGACAGTGATGAGTTCGTAGACCCAGCGGGAGCTGCGAAAGGATACGAGATACCCAGAGCAGACTGCTATGACTTCTTAGGCCCAGTTGGCAAGGTTCGTCATTAAACCCTTCCAATCGTCCCCTTTAAAATCATTTTCACCTAAACAGAAATTAAATCAAATTAAGTTAAAAGGATTCATTAGTTTCTTGCAAAATTCGTGTGACGTTTAGATGTCTGATCAACTCCATGAAACAGGTACTAACGCCACGTAGCGAAATACAACCAGTGACACAGCATCCTCTCACTACCATGTGATCAAAATACATAAGCAATGTCGGAGGGTACGGAGCTAAGTGTAAGATCCTAGCCAACCGTCGAGTATTACATTGATCTTCACTGAAGCCTACATCTTGCTGACTTGGGACAAACAGGCCCAAACCTCCGGCTCCTCTGCTATGAACGTGGATTTCATTACTCAACCATGAGAAGAGTGACCTATCCACTAGATGTAAATCTCTCCAAGCCCATCAACTCCAGTTTTGGGATAATCAACAAAATCTGTCAAGGATGAATGATCTTCCTGTACATGAAACACGTCAAAGTGAGAGCCTGGAGTCATAACTCCATCGGCAGTTACAAGTTTTCCAGAGGTCTAGTTCCCTCTACCAAGTACCCCTCAGGTCAATTGTAGAAGCAGGTCATGCACCAGTTAAGAGTGCTCTGCACTCCAGTAACAATCAGTGTATAGTCCATTTGCCTAGTTATCGAGGGTATCATAATGCATGCATGGCTGGTTCCGCTGTGTCACCGACAGGATGCATCCATTCAACTTTCAGGGCAGAAAACACCACAAGTGTTCATAATTTTAGCTAGTTTTTCAGGATTGCTACAGACTGAAATTTTGTGGACATGTGCCAATTTTTAAAGTCAGGCGCAAGGCACCACATAGCTCACGCTCACACAGAGATCTATTCCCTCTCGTAGCTCTGTTAATCCATTTTCTTCAATGAGCAGTTGATCTTCTGGAAATGTCTTGGAATTAAAATGCTCTATTCAAACTCCACTGAAAGGGAAGGTTTTATGAAGTACTTGCTTGGCTTCTCATGGATTTTGTACCATTCATTTAGTATTGTTTTCTCTTCAAATTCCGAAGTTTGGCTCAAGAAGCAAGGCATGGATTACAAAATTAGAAGTGTAGGAACATGGACCCAAGTACTCATTTTTCTAATTGCTTGCACATCAATCTATTGCCTAAGAAAGAAGCTCCACCCATCCCCATCCAATTTTGCATTCAGGTGCACAAGGGTCTAGCCTTGTGGAGGCTTGTCAATAGTTGAAAATGCCTAGCCTTGTGGAGGCTTGTCAATAGTTGAAAATGCCTAGCCTTGTGGAGGCTTGTCAATAGTTGAAAATGCCCACATATTGTGGACGTTTTTATTAAATTGATTAACATGAAAGAAAAGAAAGGTGGGACCTCAAAAATAAAGGAGCCACTTCCTCATGAAAAACAACGTTGTGTAGGCCATAATCACTTGTAGAACTACAATTCTAACAATGACATTCTCCGACAATGTCGTATCTAGCATCCATAGTCTCTTAGGAACTAATCTCATAGGAGGACTCCTACATTGAGTGAAAAATCAACAATTACTACAAGCAATTAATTAGAAATAGGGATATAGGAGTAGTAAAAAAACTAAAAATATAATTATTTTAGAGATGTTTATATTACAATCCTATAAAGAACTCTTTTGCTACTACCACTACTTTTTTCAATCATCTAAGATTGCCTATATTAACTTACTTAACAATTGTTGTTTTGATATTCTAAGAGCAATTTTTTATTCTAAAAATGAGTCATTTTGATGACTCACATGGACAAAAATTTATATTGGTAGCTAACCATCAACCCTTGAAGTGGCTCATAGACTTAAACAAACTTACTAGCAAGTTTTGCTAGATGGACTTTGTTCCTTCAAAAGTACAACTTTGAAGTTGTGCATTAGTTAAGTAATGCCAATTTGGATCAAATGGTCTTCCTTATAATTCAAGTCTTTTAAAGGATGACTTAACTCGAGCTTAATAGCATAGAGATTGCAATAAAAAGGTAATTCTTGAATGGCTTACAATTACTTATTTGACTTTAATGTCAAGCTCTATAAGTGTGGTGTTTGATCAAAATTCAAATGAGAAATTTGATAAGATCCAAGTGATTAAAATAGAAAAGAAAATATATCATAAATATCCTATAATTTGCTAAAATATCAAGAATATTCAGGTGCTCTTGATAATAGCAAAATTACCTCACTTTTGTGATAATTACAAATATATTATTGAATATGATAAGTTATAATCACAATCCTTTTTTTTTAATTGAAATTGGACCCAAACCGCATGTCGTGCACATTTAGGCACAATTCTTCTTCTTATACCTTAGGTACTATGTAAAATGGATGCCACTAATGTTGTCAGTACTAAGACTCAACCTTTGTTGACATAGATAGCTTGGCTATCCAATTCATTCACCCAATTCTATACAATTCTCTACTACATCAACTTTGATACATCATTTTATTGTCACACCTTCAAATTTATTTAATATAATATAGTATGTATATATATATTGAAATTCAAATATATAAATGGTAAGTTAAAAATTGAATAATATATCTATATATATGTAAATTATTTCATCTAAGGTAGTAGATCCAAATACAAAATATTGAGGTTTCATAATTAGTTTTTTTTTTTTTTTTTTTTTTTTTTTTTTAATTAGGGTTACATCATATAATACAAAAATAATCTATGTTGTTATTAATTTGTATTAAAATATGTTTTTTTTCATATATTATAATTATTTTATAATTTAATTATAATTTTTTGTTTTATGGAATTATTATTATCATAAAGAATAATTATTTTATCATCTTTTTTTTAAATTGGATATTTATTGGATATATTTTATCATTTTTTTAGTTGTCTAAGATAATTTTCAATTTTTGATATTTTAGTATATTTGATCTATTTAAAACCATTCTTAAGTGAAAATATTTAAGAGTAAATTTATTTGATATATTTATTTATCTATTTTATTTTCTTGAATATTTAATACATTTCATTCTTTTGCATTCAACACAACAACCTTGTAATATTTAAATGGGCTTGAAATAATTTCTTATGCTTCGAAGCAACATTAAACAAAAGAGGTTTTACTTTGTGGCTATGCTTTCTTTATTCTCACTGCATTAAATAGAATAAATCCATCATTATTCTAATTCATGCTTACATAAAGTTAATTTTATAGAATTTCATTCAATCACATAAGATGAAAGTTTGTGCATATTTGTGTATGTATATGTATATATATATATATATATATATATATACTCATAAATTAGTGATTAAATTCCATAATTTAACCACATATCATTTTTATTTTGAATTTCTTGGGTCTTTCACTCTTAGTAATACATAATTCATTATTGCATTGATCTTTTAGATTTTGTACATTTGGCTATCAAATATTTTAATTGGATTAATTTATGATTATAAATAATAATAAAATATAAAATACAATCATATGTGAAATATATATATATATATATATAGAGTTTTAAAAAATTAATATTTATTAGCTAAAATTATAAATATTATCTAATCAAGGATATTTTATTTTACTAATAAATAATATAAAAATCAAGTAAAAAATTAATACATACAAAACTTCTAAAAAAATTGAAGTTGATTTTTATATAATATTTATAACTTCATCTTTATAAAAAAAAATTTAAATCATTTTATTTTTGAATGATTAATATTATTAAATATTTTTTAAAGAATTACATAATATTTTTAATAAAATAAACTATTATTAAAAATATTATCTTAATAATGAATTTTTAGTAAAATAAACTACTATGTCTTGTAACATTGTTGACATGCCATTAGTATAGACATCATCTATCTAAAAAAAAAATATTGTAAAATATTCCTTGCAGCAACAAAAATTAATATAGAAAATTAACTATTTCCTATTATATTTAGAATTGTGAATGTTGAAAATAACAACATTTGGTTGTGGTACTTATAAAATATGAAGATAGAAATTCTTGAATCATTTCCATTGAATTATAACTTTTAAAGTTTATAGTTTTATCTAATTGACAATGAAGTCTTATTGATGCTATCAACCATGTATTTTGAACATGCAAATATATATTTTATATGAGCTATTTAGTTGAGAACTTACAACAATAATTCAAAAATCCAATGCTTGTACAATATTTCTAAATAGTAGCACATGCACCAATTATTTTTAATTTCAACATCAAATTCTCAAAAGTCCAAGTTATATTTGAAGAAATTGCAAAGTACTTCATGAGCATTAGATCACAATATTAGACATCATCACAATTTGATGGAAACCAATTTGGCCACATAACTTTGAATATTACAAAATCTCTAAACTCTTAGATCTTAGAAGTGTATAAGATACCATTAATTCCAATGTTGGAAACAATTTATTGGCAACTCATGGCATAGTACAATAAGTATCATATAATTGAATTATTCAAAGTTGACAATTATTGAACCATTATCAATTAATGCACAAGAACATATCAAATGGTCACAAATTTTTATAAGTGGCTATTATACCATTTCTTTATCTAATATTATTTTCAAATGCATATCAAAAAAATCATCTAATGTCTTCAATTTACAAAATTGTACATACACTAGAAATCAATGGTAGCTATTTAGAATCTCATGTATAGATGAAATTACTATTGTGTTATTTAAATGACAATCAATTGTTAATTATAATATTTACTTTCATATTATTCAAGCTTAGCAAAAAATTTATGCAATAGCTATCATTTCAATACTATCTATTGAGTATTGGATAAAATCAAGCTACAACAAAATTGATGTTATTTCAATCCTACAATCTTTAATATGATGTCTAATTGGCTATCTAAACAAGAATCACATCCATATGGAGGATATAGAAATAGCCAAAAAAGTGTTTAGATATAATTGATGTAAGAATATTGAATATAAAAATTTAATTTGCAAAGTACCAATTTGATTTTGTTGCTAAAGTGCTACTTAATGTGATGTTTAAAGATATTATATTCAAAAGAAAGAGCCGGTATAAGCAAAAACTTCCATGAAAATTGTAATTGAGCATGGATTGAGGCATGTGAGTAGTCGATCTTTGCTTAAAAAGATATTTTTAACACAATGGTGGAGTTAGATTTACCAAAAAATGCTTTCTTGACCACTTATAAGAGCCATCAGCCTTAGTAATGAGATCGGCTCTTGGATGAATGAATTCCATAGATTTCAATTAAAGATCTTAAAAATCAAGGGTGGAGATGTAACCACCCTTCTACGAGCCTCCACTCAATTGTATAAGAGAGGTTTGGTTTTCCAAGCCCTCTCTCTCTCTTCTTTTGAGTGAAGGGCAAAGCCATGCCAAAATTTGGCCAAAATCCTAATCTTAATTTTATTTAGATTTTAAATCTCATTGAGAACCTTGTGATTGTGTATGTATGGATTTTGAATTGTGAAGGATGGTCATAAAGTTTTAAAATATGCTTCATTGAGGTAGATAGCTCCTCGGCCTTCCAAATATCCCATGGGTTTTAAGGGCCGCAGATTTTCCTCGATCAGTCACTGAGTTTCTTTTGTTTCAATGTGAAATTCTAAATAATTGTAGCTTTTGTTGTTAGCTTTCCGATAAGATAAGACTTGCTTGATTTGGAGTAAGAAAGAATTTTTGGTAGATTTTTGAGTTTGAGGGAGTCGAAAGCCTTTGCAGTTTGAATCAATCGAGTTTGGAAAGGCATTTATCAATGCTTGATAATTATCTTTATTTGAAATTTAACAAACATCAAGCTTTATAAGCTAATCTCTGAAAGGCATAAGATTTGTTGGATTTAAAGACAATCTGAATTTTTAGTGAATTTCTAAGTAAAAAGGATTGATCACCATGGCAGTTTGGATCACTCAACTTCAAAGGAGGAATTCTCAAGATTGGATCATTAGATTGCAA